TTATATTAAGATAAAAATTTAATAATTTTAATGACCTTAATAAAATTGATAATAATCATAACCATAGCTGTATCTTTGGCTGAGTACTTTCGAGATTTGGCTTTCAAAATTTTTTTCCCTAAAACCCTAATTTTTCTTCCTTTAATCCCACTTGTAGCCGCAATGTTAGCTTCAAGTTGCAATGTTGGTTAAATTTAAATATGTTTTGCAGTTTATATTATAAAACTAATATCATTAACTGAGACCAGTTTCATAATACTAAAAATTATTTCTAATCTAAAAATTTTGTTTTGCAATCCTGCAAAACGGGAAAGTCTTTATATATTTTCTATAAATAAGGAATTAGCGATGGTAAGATGGCTGGCTCTAAAGCAGATTTTGCAAGAAAAATATAAAAAAGAAAAAGACAGGTAATTCATCTTCTAAGTTCCAACAATGCCCACAAGATATTTACCCAAAAAATAAACAACCCCCACAATATATGTTGACTTAAGGTCCTTCCTAGAAAGGTTGATTAAGATGATGAATTAATGATGTCAAATTCACCTGGCAAAACCTAATATTAAGTTCCTCAACTTATTCTAGATTTTTGATAAAATTTTTAAATTTTTAATAAAATAAATAAGTCTTTAAACTTATCAATTTAAGCAATTGAAGCCTTTTTCTTAAGGCAAATTTAACATTAGATTTTACTTTATTTACATAGATAAAATCAATACTTATTACATAAATAATGACATGTTAATACTTTATTTGTATAAGTGATGTATAAATGATTATTAAGTCTGTTGTAAAAAAAAAAAGTTAAATTATCTAAATCGTTGAGTTTAAGAGTTTGTTTGTTTTAATAAAAGTTTACAACCTTAATTAAAAATATAAGATATGTTTGGGGGCTTAACCTAAGGTATTGCCGATTCACTTTGCTTTGCCAGCGTAAGGGTATTTCCATTTCTTTTTGACCATTTAGTCAATCTATCCCTTTTACATTAAGTTAGACGCAAGCAAATTCATTTGGAAACTGAAAAATTTACAATAAATTACCTTATCAAATATTTACATTTTCTAATAGTTGGGTTGTAGAATTTAATAAATAAAAGGTATAGTAAATTAAAATAAAATAATTTCTGATAAATTACCTCTTTAAATATTTAGTAAACTCTTGAATTTACTATATAATTAATAGGTGGAGAGACAACTCCTGTATTTGACAGGGAAAGCAATGTTTGACATGTCCGGCGTTGCTAACCGGTAGTCCTTCATTTCAGACCCACATGCAGAAATTCACAACAAGCCGTCATTCAAGGAATTTGGCTACGAAAATGCTTCCCTAAAGAGACAAACCGCGCACCACGTACCAATCAGTTTCTTAATTTTTTTTCATCATTTCTCTTTCATTCACTTGATGTTACTTCAGAAACAGTTAAGAGAATCATTGGCTATACACACCTCACCTAAACTGGCCCAGTTCATGCTAATGCTACAATGGCTGATTGAGTGGCGGCTGTTAAGTGCACCTCCTCCCTGTGTCCTTTTGCTATTCTGCCGACACCTATTCCAGGGCAAACCATTGTCCTCGTATGAGGAAGGTTTGAAGTTCAAATCAACATGACACAAATACTTTACTTTGACTTAAGTAAAGTAAAAGGCTTTTGAGTAATTGGAGACAACCTCTCTCTTAGAAATAAAAGAGGTAATATCTAATTACTAAGAGTATGTATCTTGGTGAATGAGGGAATAGCTGCAACTACTCTCCAGGGGAAAACGCAATACTAGTATGACGAGAGTCTGAAGTTGGAATCAACATGAAGTACTTTATTGGAAAAATGGAACTCCAAATGGTTAAAAGGAGTATAGTTATTTTAAGTAAAGCACGAAATGAAATACAACCGTACCAGTTCCAGAGTGCGTAAAAAATGGGGTTTTCACCGTTCATGACTTCTACATTTGATTCAGAGATTTCCATTTTTAATGCAATCAAAAGAAAGACAAAGATCTTGATTCTTGAATGTGACGATTCTAGGACCACTCGTGAATCATATATCAGAAATGACAATTGATATGAAAACGAGAATACAAGGAAGCAGACATGTGAATTTATGTTTGAATGAAAACAAATCCAAATCACAGCTGCAGAATATCGGTAATTTGGTATTGTCGAGCAAATAAATGTATCTCTCTGGTTAATTACAAACTAAAACAAGAAAAAAACAAAAAAATCCTGTAACTGTAATACCTGGGTAGAAATTGATGACTCAGGTATCACCTTCTCTAGAGTTCCCATGGTCCCTGACCACCAGAGGTCAGATCTTCAGACACAGATACGACATAAGTTGTAAAAAGGAGAAATAAAGAATGGGCTATACTTGGATTGTGTAGATTCTCCAGTTGATAAGAAGATTTGCTTTAATTTTTTTTGGGAGAGGTTAAATGCAAAATTTGGTCCCTCAACTTTAGTGAGTTGTACATTTTTGATCCCTCAACAATTTTTTGTACTTTTTTGATCCCTCAACTATACAGAATGCACTCCGTTAATCCTTTTGTCAATTTGGACAGTTAACTCGACCACATGGCATTTTTTATATTTTTTTTGATGACATGACGAACACAACTTAAAAAGATGCTTATTTGGACTTTTTTTTTTATGACATGTCATCTTCTTCACGTCAAACCCCTCCAATAGATTCCAGCTACCTGCAAACTGATTTCTCATCTTCACCCTCTGCAAAATCGATCTTAACCCATTTCTTCTTATTCTCTAAATGCTCTCCCATCTCCACTCCATCTGCAAAATCGATCTTAACCCATTTTTTCTTCTTCTGTGAATGCACTCTCATCTCCACTCCATCTACAGAACCGATCTTAACCCACCCATTTCTTCTTCTTCTCTTTTCTTGGGGAAACTTGAGTTACTGGGTTTCATTGAAACCTTAAACCTGGTAGATCTTACCAAATCAAAATAACCCTTCAATAAACAATATCAATCAAACTCAAATCGAATTTCAACAAAAATATAATTAAACTTTAATTAAATTCCAACAAAAATGCAATCAAATTATAAATCAATCTCCAGATATATTAACAACAACAAATGGAAACCGAAAGAAGAACAAAAAGACAAGAACCAAGCTTTCCTAGCAAAGTTGGGTTCGATTGAAACCCAGCCTTGGCTGGGTTCCGACGAACCCAACCTTGGCTGGTCGTGAACCCAGCAAGGCTGGGTTTCCACCGAACCCAGCCTTGTTAGGTTTCAACCGAAACCAACCTTGCTGGGTTTCAACCGAAACCAGCCTTGCTGGGTTTCAACTGAACCTAGCCTTGGTTGGTCGCGAACCCAGATCTGTTGGGTTCCGATGAACCCAGCCTTGGCTGGTCGATGAACCCAACAAGGCTGGGTTTCCACCGAACCCGAAAGAAAGAAAGAGAAAAAAAGAAGGGGAAGAAGACAGATTGGGAGGGTGAGGGTGAGGGTGAGGATGAGGGTAATAACATAATTTTATATGTTTTTAATTAAAATATGTACATTAATTTATGTGGTATTTTTATTTATTTATATAATATATATTAGTGCCACATCATCAAAAAAATTAAAAAACAATACCACGTGAAATTATTTAACTGCCACATCATACTTAACTGGACGGAGGGACTAAAACTATGTAATTTTTAGAGTCAAGGAATCAAAAAAATGCAAAAAATTATTAAGGGACCAAAAATGTGTATTTTATAAAGTTGAGGGATTAAATTTAGCATTTAACCTTTGGGAAATTAGGAAAGCAGAACTTCATTTTCAGATTGTGATTGAGCTTGGTGAGCCCCCTAGTCATGCGTGAAGACCTTACTCAAATGTCTCATCATTGCAATGGTTAATTCCAAGATACTTCACAGTGGAGTAATGGTTTGATATCAAGGCCTCATTAAGCCAACTCTGTAATCAAATCAAGAAGAAAACAGATCACTAACATTAAAGATATAATCAAAATCAAACCACCTTCATTTTCAAAGTAATTCTAAACTCAAACTCTGCCTTTGAACAGAACAGATACAGAGACCAATTGAACTTGGCAGATAACATAATAAATTGCATCTATAAGCATTCCACAAAAGAGACAGGAGATATTAATATCAGTTCTAAACACCAAATAGATGAATATCAACCATCAAGAAGATCCAAAAAACCTGACTGAATAATAACCTATACCACATTATGCAGACTACCACCATCATTTCACCCAACAAAAGGAAGCAACTTCGTTTATAACCATACTAAGAACGAACTCAGAAAGTTCTTCGGATCGCTCACTGCCTAATGAATGAACTGAAAACGAACAAGATAAGACATAGTAAATCCATAGACTGAGGAATAGAATTCCTTTCACCAAAATTTTACTAATCAGTTCAAAGGGTTGGGCTGAATCAGCAAAGCAGAGCCCTTTCCTTTCCCTTCTAGGCATGAAGACCAACAGGCTATTGTTTGAATATCTGTCATTAATCCCACGTTACAGTAAGTATCATCACTTATCTGCCAAATTAAAGACAAAAGTACCCAAAACGAGAATTGGGGTCAATTTAATCATAATCATAACCTATAACTTATTTCAATTGCTAAATAAAATATCATAAAAGAACTCAAACATCCAAATAAGCAAATCCCTTACAGAAAAGGGAAAAAATGTGTTATTTATTCAACAATTCAATCAACGGGCAACAAGAACATCATTATTCAACACATTAATCAACAAATCTTCACTTATACCATTGTTATCATTATTATTAACACTAGATTCTAAATCTGCACCAGAAGGATTCAAATTAAGCGAGAACACCGATTTATTAGCCACCAGCTTCTTCCTCCGGAGGCAACACGGACCACCGTAGACCTTGTTCAGAAAACGCGGGAGTCGATCCATTGATGAGATCTGGGTCTGGGAAGGATGCTGGGTTAGGACCGAGTCGACTTGGTGGGTGAGGAGATTAGCCAGTAGGGAGTCGGATTTCTGAGACCTAGCATTGACCCTGGAGTCCCTTATCTGCGCAAGTGCTCCTGGCTTCAGATACCTGTAGAAAACTTCGTTTCTTCTTGAGGAAGATCTCGAATTGCCTTTCATCTTCGAATCTACAAACGGATCTTCTCTAGATTAGTCTATTACAGAGCGCAGAGGGAGAGGAGATTAGGGTTTTTAATAAGGGAAGAGTGTTTGGGAGGCGGGAAAATGGGGGAGGGAAAGAGTGGAGATTTGAGAGAGAGGGAGAAATTAGGGTTTTAAAAATTGATGAAGCGGCAAACGAACGGATCCGTGACTTCTGCTGACCGTACGATTGAGAATGTGATTCTGATGTGTTGTCAGATGATGGCACGTGGCCATCGAGTGAAAGTCCTTTCTTAATCACCATTTTAGTCCTTGTATTTTCTCCAAAGTGCAATGCAGTCCTTCAACTTTTTAGACCTTCTATAAGTTCCATTAATATTTGGTTAAATACCCGGTTCAGTCCCTCAACTTTTATTTTTAAACTAAATTTACCCTTGAACTTCAAAAAGTACTAAAAAAATCTCTAAACTTCAATTTTTGGAACCAATTTCGTCCTTCCATCGACAGAAGTGCCAGATGAAACATTAAGTTGCCACAAAATCAATTTTTATTTTAAATCTTTAATTATGTGGAAAATAACTTCACTCACCATGCCATTTTGTTGTCAACGTCATTTTAATTAATTTATATATTAAAAATGTAAAATTCCTTAAATATCACCATCTTCATCTTCCAGCCCCTCTTTTTCTCCTTTCTCGTTTCTCTCTATCCTCTGATGCCTCTTCATCTTGCAACCCACTCAGCACCGATCATCCCTCATTGCTCCGGTCATCCCTTACCACTTCGATCAACACATGATCACCAAAAAAAAAATGGAACCCGAATCATCAAACCTTTCCTTCTTCCCCAAACTTCCTCTCTAATGGAACCCAAATATGGTTCCTCCCACAATAATAATGGCCAATAGATTTGATTCAAAAAATCAATTACACTGCAAACTTATACTAGATTTGTAAAGATTCAAAAAATCAATCATACTGCAAACTTATAACAAATTTGTAAAAGAAAAGGAAAATGCAAAAAACACAACATCCCTTCAATCAATACCAATAATTGCTAAATCTTGAAATTCAAGCAAGCAGAAGCGACACAAAACTCTAAATCCCATACCAAGATAGCCAAGCATGACTGCAGCCAACAAAGAAAGAAAAGAAGAAGAAAATGAGAACCAATGAGAAAAAATCATGGGATTTCTTTCAAAAATACCGACAAAAGGAGGGAAAATACTCGAATCGAGTTTTCTTGGTTGGGTTCTCAACAGAAAAGGGGAAAACCAAAAGTATGAGAAGGAGAAAGGGGGGAAGAGAAAAGAAGAAGGTTCCAGACCTAGGGCTTGGGTTCGAAAGAACCCGCGCTTGGGTTCCTTTGAACCTAGTAGGTAAGGGAAGGAGAAAAAGAAAGAAAAGGGAAAAAAAAGAAAGAGAGAGAGAAATTTTTATTTAATAATTATTTATTAAATTATATTTATATCATTTATTTTAAAATTTACCACATCATAACACTTTTATAATTTAAAAAAATCATATCACCTACTTTATTTCCACCTAATACTTAATATTAATAAAAATTGAATTTCTTAACGGAGAATTTCGCCACATTAGCACCTAACTAATAGAAGAACAAACTTGGTCTCCAAAATTGAAGTTTAGGGATTTTTTTAGTACTTTTTGAAGTTTGAAGGTAAATTTAGTTCAAAAATGAAAGTTGAGTGACTGAACCGGGT